CCAGTAGTTTCGGAGCGCCCAGGCTTAGTTTTAATTAAAGTTGATCACTTCTGATCACTCTGAATGGCCTCTTAACCCCGCCTACGTATGTACGAAATTTAGTCGCAACATTACATAGTTGCCATTCGTCTGTAGGAACACGAGGGGTGCCAGACTGTCCGAAAAGTCGGTCAGCAGCTCATGCCTCAATTTCTGCATGTATGGAACTGCTACTTTTCTGGTTGGGTTAAACACAGCATGATGATCTGTGGACAAAACCACGTTGAATTTTCCCAACGGTATCCAATGCTTGGACGGAACCTTTTAAATGATTGGACTCTACCTCTACACTTACTCCGTCTTGACATCCTCCTTACTAAGCTAACATTATCCCCCCCAGCATAATTTAGGACTCTAGGAGTCCTAGGTCATTCGTATGTGGGTGTGAACGATTTGGTGATGTCACTATTCTCTGCCTGCACCAGGTTCTCTGTCAGCGGAGTGTTGAAACTCCAACTCAAACAAAAAGCGGTCACGACTGTGACTGGGATTTCGACCGCTCCCCAATAGATGGCATCGTCTAATTTCCGTTGCCCTAGCCATGTGACGTCCTAAAAGTTACCGCATCATTTTTCCACCCCGGTCACTTCAACAGTGTGGCATTTCCATCGAACGCTTCCTTGCTTCGCTGCTGCTGAGGTTATTGTAGGATGTTTGATTGATTTGAGCGACTTTGTTGATTTGCCGGCACTGGAAAGGTGATTAGCAATGGGCACAAATTCACCGCTTCTTGTCGCTACTTCGTCACTTTTAGGATGGCCGCAATCCACTACACGAATTATGCCGCAGTAAGTCACGCGATGCAGTCGGTTTGGTGGACAATTTGGATGCCATTTTGGATGCCATGACAAGCTGGGACCAAGACAGAGAATCGAATAGAGATCAGCTTAACGGTAGCTACACACCACACACACCTGAAAATGTCATCAATATTCGGTGTGAATGCAAGAACGACTGGGATTTCGAGGTAAGTGTGTTCTGCTTACAGCTGTTTGGGCATGCTCCATGTTTGCCTACTGATCATGGCAAATTTCGATGATTATATCCTACTATGCGAATATACATCAAGAATAACTCACCCGTTTGACCTCCAAATTCTTCCCAATTATCTAATTAATTACACTTCCCTGCCTTATGGTTGGAGTTGGTCATTTTGTGATTTTATGTTTATACCTTTCCTATTTCGAGTCACAAATGACTTGGAATATAAGACTTGGTGTGAACCTCAGAAGCCGAAAGTTTCTGCTGATATACGCATTCAATCCCTCAAAAATTCACCTGCTGCGTTAGCATATGTTTCGGATCGGTGTGCGAGTGCGTGCATATTAGGTCTACTCTGTTGGCCAAAGGTACTACGCATCCTCTTTTCCACTGCCTGTATTCATTGAAATCTGAAGTGTGTACTCGTATAGAGCTTGAAACTGGCGTCTTGTTACAGACGAAGGGAGCAGTTAGGCTTAGCCAATCACATAGTGGAGGACATAGTGGAATCACATGTACATATTAGCTATTTTAGTTATCCGATAATTTAACGATTCGCCCTAACACATTCTCTCCTACCGTTCATTCACTGATTACTTCGTCAAACTGATGGCTTCTCAAGGCCTATTCTTATTCAGTGTGGTGATTCAGCCTGTTTCATGCTGCATTTTACTAATCCCACTACATTCGCATGTCGAACATCTTGTCTTGTACACTGATATGGCACAGTTATCGATCTGATACTCGATTCCCCCCTCAATTCACTTGGTTATCTGATATGTCCGTGTAGTGTATCAGGTTTTTGAAACTGCTCCGGCCTGCTTATGCATTCATTACGTGAGTCAGTTCGTTTCATCTGATGTGCTCAGTTGCTTAGGAAATTATGGGGTTGGAGGTCTGACGAACACAGTCTCTTGGTCCTCCAGGTTGTGGCAACTTGTTCCGTAAAAACGTTAGTGTATTTGCATTTCCCGCCAGATATCTGTCAGGCTTTCGAGTCAAAGGCTTTGGTTTCTGACCCTAATCGCTTTCTTGTGCCTAGGTCCGGGCACCCTGGCAATATCCTAACCCACGTACAACCGTGAATGTCGTGGTAGTACGAGAGTGAAGCGTCAGTAGTCAATACTGACGTCATGCTGTCGGTGACGATAATCTTATGTATGTTTTAGTGTTACAAATTACCGCAGTGGTGTGTTTGTGTCACGGATTTTTTCCTCTGGCTTCGGTGAGAATTACTTCTCAACAAGAACGACATCTTTCATGTCTGTCTTTTTGACCTGCTCGCTATGTTGGTTTGCTCAACGCTCCCCTACATGGGCGAAACCCTATTAAAAATTGGCTATTTGTTAGCCAAGCGTAGCGTCCTATCTGTTCAGGCTAAAACACACTGGTATCTTCTAACTACTCATGGGAGACAACTTAGCTAATCCTAGTTGGAGTTGGTCCTTTTTGGGGGTAATAGGGCAAGCCGGCCAGATTAGAACCCCCCATAATCTCAATCACTCAATACTTTGTCACAACTCCCTATCATGCAGTGGTGCGGGTAAATAAATAAATAGAAATCATTCAGCTGTAATATCCTTTTCGTTTCCTAGCTGTCATGCCACCTGAAGGCATCACGATAGTTGAGGTACTGCCAGGTTATTCATGCCGAGACAAGAGCAATCGAAATAGCTGGTTCGGCATCTTGACTACCCGTGTCTGGGCTTGGGTAACAATGCAGCATCTCAGCCCTCGTGCATTCTTGGGGTGGCGTGCCAGCTATGAACCGAAAAGGGGGATACAACTAAACCTTCCTTCCTAAGCTGTTTGATCTTTATTACAGCTGAACGATTATTTACTATTATCTTTATTTGTCTGGGGCGAGATCGGAAGTTCCGTGGTTCGAATCCGACCTCCGCCTCTCGACTTCCCCTGTCTAGGCTTGGGCAACCTGGCAGTATACCAGCCCTCGTACTTCCTTCGGGTGGCATGGTAGCTAGGCACCGGAAGGGTGCTGCAGCTGAACACTTGTTTGTGACTATGACACACCTATTCTCTACAACCTACTTACACCCATTTAGGTGTTACAAACCCTTTCTAGAATTAAAATCCCGGTTTTTCGACGCCCCTGTGAAGCTCCGTCGATCTCGTCCCGTTTATCTAGTTGTATTGTAGGATTTTACCTAGGTCTTGTAACAATAGCCAACGATCGTAACATCAGCCTCCTCACGAGCGATCCATCGAGGCTACTGTGACACCATTTTATTTAGCTCATTCAACAAGTTGCCCTCTGGTGTATGCTGCACTTCTCGCTTAGTCCAACTCTAGAGTGACAGGTTGCGCGTTCTAATCAACCGGACATAGCTCTGCTTCATATATACAAACTATCAAACGACCGGCTTTTTCGTGGGCATTCTCATCGCATTGTGCATCGTTCCACATGCTTTGCCGGTTATCGCACAATCTGTCTGACGGTACAAACTGAATGTGTAAACAACTGAATGTGTAAACTAAGTTCCGAACAGTTTGGTTGGTGTTTATCGACAGTATGTGAGTGCACCTTCGCATAAATTATTGCAATTGTTACACCCTTGATTCTGATTTGGTGAACTGTAAACTTATGATCCATTGGTTGATGAACTACACGCGTTTGGCTGTGGGTGTACCGGGTAAAAGACGGGTGGTGATTGTAGACACAGATGATGCAATGCGTCTGGCTTCACAGCTTTGTCATGCACAGCCAGTGTTCAGGTTGCCCTCTAAAAAAATCAACACTTTGAAGGAATTTGCACAGTGGAATTCTAACAAGCGCAGTGATTGAATGGAACACATTTGTCCCCAAGAGTAACCTTGTCCGTCACCAACAACCTTTTGTGGTAGATGAAAGTGACGTCATTGAATGCAGTGCTTGTCCCCAAACCTTGTCCGTCACCAACAACCTTTTGTGGTAGATGAAAGTGACGTCATTGAATGCAGTGCTTTCATCTACTCGGCAAAGCAAAGTCATCGAAAGGAAGGCAAGACCATCACTTTCACTTTTACCGGTGTTCCCATATCGTCCCTTGTTTTACACAACAAACCGTCAACGACCAAAACAGTTGTGGTCCAGCCAGTTAATCCGTTCAACGTGTGTCCGTAAACGGATTTCGCAAAACTTACACCGTTCGAGGCAAAAAGTTAAATTTTAAAATCCATCGAAATGACAATCGTTACCTTCATGACGCCCCAGTAGACTCACTGCGCGCAATCACTGCAGCACTGGGGAGGTGGAACATAGGTGGAACATAGGTGAATTGCACTGAATGTTCTTCAAAAATGTACTATTACTACGGGATAGATTATGAACAGATCCGTCCATTGTTCCGAATAGCATCGAGCTGGCCATTCTGACGGTGCTATTGCTTTGGCCTCTCGATATGAGCACTATTCATCATCATCTGCTGGTTGCTTGTATCATGCGTCTATTGTTCGACATTGATGGAGCCGAGACTGACTTTTCTTGCCAAAGTAAACGACTGTTTAGTCAAAGAATCCTTAGACTGCTGTCCCCAAAGAGGTCACATTTCAATGTGCGTTTGGAACCACCTGAGTCTACAAAAAAAGATGATATTACAGTGGCAGATATTCTGTAAGCACGTTATGAGGTTTTCGAATAATGTTGGTGACAATCGGTAGATTTATTGCTGGGCAACGTTCTTTTGACACAAAGCTTTGTCAGGCCAAATGCCTAGATCCGAGGTTGGTCGAGATTTAAGGCGGAAGGAGAACCAATCAGCTAAGTCAAGCTAAATCTCAACCAAGGGATTTTCGTGCGTTAGGGTGGGTGAACGACGATTGCACTAAGGTTTACATGGGACGAACTGCCAGGGAATCGCACACCAGAATTGGTGAACATAAAAGGAGGATAAACAAACCACCAAGGAATGCAGAAGAATACCAAACGCTGGTCAAAGACTCAGCGATGGCGTTACATGCCTTAGACATGGGACATAGAATAGATCTAGAAGTTTAAGACGGGGACTGCGATTCACACCACAGCAGCTAAAAGCCGAGGTGGTGGAAATTACTCAGCATCATAGCGTTAATAGAATCGAGGGTGTAGAACTGGCGAGCGTATGGAAAGCGGTCTTAGATAAGCCGAGTTGACACGTGACTGTGTGGTTGTCAATCCACGTAGAGTCATTAGCGAAAACCGGGGGTGAAGGGTGGAAACCCCAACCGACCAAAGGTCACAGCATCCTTCTTACACAACTATCTTAGCACTATCTCATCCACACAGATGGACAGAAGGCTCAAATGACATTCAAGAGGGACCATCAAATGAACCGAACCAGAAGAACTAGACTCTAGGCTGGACCCAAACACATGTAGGTTTCCCCACCGACTCAACACTTGTTCAACCCCTCTAACACACTAAAATCCCTCGGCCGACACCCAACAGAGATCTAGCTTGACTCAGCTGATTGGTTCTCCTTCCGACCAACCTCGGAACCTAGTCACTTGGCCTGACGAAGCTTTTGTGTCAAAAGCGAAAGGTTGCCCAGCAACAAATCTACCGATTGTCACCAAACTTTATAGAAAACGATGACTACTTAATCGGTTCCAGGTTATGGGATATTTAGTGACTTTCTGTCATCCTCGATTGCAACAATACTCACACTAAAACAATATTGGAGTAGTTCATATACCCCGAATATGATGCTCTGAAAATCGAGATGCAAGAGAGAAACAAACCACAAGTAGCGTTACTGAGCTGGTCAAGTAACTCAGCAATTTTGGTTGAATCTGTGAACTTTATGAATTCGGTGCCCATCACCAGGTGTTTTGTTGAAAAACCATGTATTTGGAATTGAAAGTCTTTTTATTCAAGTTGCAATGACCCGGTGCTCTGATGTTCGATCATAGTTGTGAATTTCAGAAAGGGAACGCCGCGGAACGGTCGACCTTAGAGCTGGTGAATACGGTACAACTGACTGGTTGTTGTCCCGTAAGCAGGGCAAAAAG